CCTGTGAGTTAGTAGGTAATTAATTACATTGAAATAATATAAGCTCATAGTTTGCAGTAACCTATTTCTAAAACTCGAAAGAACTTACAATTCATTGCAGATAATTAAAAAGATAATAATATTATTAATAACGATGCTATTTCCAGCATCATCATCGATCAATCTTGATCTCCATACATGAGGCAATTGTGTGCTTGTGTACTTGCATACTCACTGAACAATTGTAAACCCAACATCTTCGCTTACCTACCCTCCTGGTGATGTGAATTAAACAAAGTTCAACCCTTTGCCCGATTCACGGTTACTTGAGAAATTCTTGGCATTCCTTTGATCCCAGTTAGACGGCAACCGAACAGCCAACGGCTGCGTTCGTTAAAAATAGATCATGTGAATTAATGGTATGTACCAAAGTATTAATGTAAACTAAATTAGGATCTAAACATTAAATTGAACCTTAGAATATTTCGATGTTGTGAAATGATCGTTGAAAACTTATAAAAATAGCAATTCTAGGCCATTGACAAAATGTTATCGTATTTTTCAGGTTTTTGGATTTTTTAAGTTTGGCTCTCTCAATCTTTATTCCTTCCTAGTATCCTTTCATAGATGGCTTTCAGGAAGGAGACAAATGCGCATTCCACGGCGCATCTTTCCTACCCAAACTCGGATAACAAAAACTTGGGACACCACCTCGGCTCGGGCTCACCCTTGAAATCTTTCTCCTTGCTCTTCCCGATCATGCTGCCCTTGTGTTTCTTCGATCTAATTACGCATATCATTATGAATTTTTGTTCGCAATGCAAGTGAGATGAGATAATGAGGGGGATCCTGACTCTTAAGTACACAAAGCACAAAGTGGGCACAAAAAGTGAGAGATATTGCCTATATTGGCTATGCTATAAACCATAGTAACATTTAAATATGTAGATATCAAGAAAAATAAATTTCTTTTGTTTTGACTGCAAAACTAACCTAAGTTTCTTGTTTATTACTTTTTTCAAAATACAGTATTACTTTGTACGATTAATTACTCATTAACTTATTCTACTTACAACAAATAGCTACAATTTGAAGTAAACTAAATTACAGATATGGTTCACTTCATTGTTGATAAATGGATGCTTAACTGAATCCTATTGGGAAAGTATTGATTTCTGGTCAAGTTAGCTCCTTAACAATCCTGTATCCTTAGTATTTTCCGAACGGTTTGACGTTATCGGCAATCGCCAATACCATTCGATTACTTTGTGTGAAGCCTAGGCGGGAAAGGAGACGCGTTCGGAACGATATAGGCGGGAAACTATTCATACCGTAGTGTTTTATTTATTGTAAAAGCCGCGTTTCATATAAATGTGGTATTATTAAATTATGAATTAAAGTAATGTTAAAAATAAATATGTAGTTCTTCACAATTATTTAAAGCTCGTAACCATGACAACCGAATTAAATATTTATTTTATTTTTTGCTATTTTAATAGATATCAAGTGTAAAAAGTATTTTTATAAAATTTTCTATATATAATTTATTTAGAAAATCTGTATAATATTTATGCCCTTAACGTGCATATATATTATGTGTATGTTACCTACGTATTATAATTAGATTAAAATCTGGAAATTCCCTTCTTATTTCTTTATTTCTGTTCCAAAAAGTAACATGAGCATCTAGGAGCGCCCGATAGAACGTGACGGATAGCCCGCGGCTAACGCATTACGTAACGGATTGATTTAAACCTTCCGCAATATTATTATTAAGTTATCGTATTAAACTACATTCCAGTCAACTTCAGCTGACAACCGGAGGGCGCGGATACGAGAGTATCTCCTTAAACTTGCGTAACGTTCTTACGCACGATTGGCTGAAGAGATCACGCCCACTGCGTAGCTAAACCTTGAAAGTCGTCGAGCCCTTTGTAGGCCCTTTCTCAATCGCCTTACGCATTATGCGGTCCCGGTAGATTGTGTTTTATTATAAATAATTTAAAAGGGCTTTCTACTAAACAAACATCAGCGGTCCCTTGCGCCAGTAAAAAATATTTGTTTACTCGTTACTAATGATTGGTGCTAGGCAATAGGTATTCTGCTTTATGATATAATAGCGTTATCTACAAGAATTAACAAACTTAAACTTCCTTGTGGAGGGGGTAAGGTGTAAATGACAGAAAAGGGAAAATAATGGGCATGTCACTCCCAATGACTTTGTATACTAGGGAAATATAAGTATTAAGGATACAGTATCGTGAGTATGAAGGGCTTTTGAAAATGCGCTATGCATCTTTAACGTTCTTCGTCATTAAGTTCCGATTGGCTCGTTTCTTTTTACCTGTGTAAATAAATCTGTTACTTGTTTTGATCGACAACCTTATTCGATTTATTCGGGAAAACCTTAAATCAGTTAAAAATACAAGAAATGTTAATTTAGAAACATCATTGTAAATGAAAAAAAATATTATAAAGTAACTTGTAGGTATAATAGATAAGCAATAATATTTATTTTTTCTCTTAAATCTTTTTTAATTATTGTTATAACTGGCACTGTTGACAACATGTTACATTATGTTCTTGTGCGTATACACACACAAGCAAAAGTAACCCAGCCGAGCGTGTTGCTTCCGGAGCCACCCTTAACACAGTTAGGGTGCCTTTCCTAGAATCACACATTGTAATATATTCAACTCCATGGCTCTCATGCTACCTTAGTAAATGTAGCCCACATGCTCAACCCTTTCAGACACGTGGCCACACACTCGCTGCACATACATAATTTATGACTTTACCTTATTGGTTGCTCTAGTGTATTTGTAATAAACATTCATAAATAAAAAGTTATAAACTAAAATGGATGCAAATAAAATAATAATTACTATATAAAACTTAAATACAAAGATTAAAAAGTCAATTAATACTATACAATAATGAAGACAAAAAAAATCCAGTAACCTTAGCAAGTAACCACTACCTATATACATATTTGGGTTCCAGGCGCTATCAATTAAATATATTATAATTGCTTAAATTAGGTATATATGTACTGTGTGTGTATTTTATGATCGGTATAAGGTAATTCAGGCTAAATTGTTGTTTTTAACGTAGGAATATTTTTTATCTATCCTAACAACAGGAACTTTCAAATATTTCAATAGAAAATTGTACACTGAAAGTACTAGGGCACACTAGGATATGCAGAGATGGACAATTCACCAACTATGTATTAGGTTTCTAATGCATATGAGAAGGTATTTAAATAATAGTTTTTAAGCTTATCGTTTATTCTATCCTAGTACTGCTGAATACATGCCGAAATAGTGCGGATTCCATGTCTGCCTAGGAGGGACTAAAACTGTGAGACCATTTAGTTAACGTAACGCGTTACGGTGTTCATCCACTTCTATTGGGCATCCGTAACGTAAACTTTTTTTTTGGTGTTTATAATTAAAATATTTATCTCAATTCCTTTATATCTCAAATAACAAAACCAGTTAGAGAAGTTAAACATAAGACGCGACTGATTAATGGTAAAATGGTATGGAGATTGGAGAATGCAGTAGGTACATACACTATTATACATTTTTGTCTCTTGTTTGCCCTACAAGTGAGATAGTATATTGAAAGTAAGGAGAGTAAAAGAGTCGAATAATAAAAAAGAAAGACGGAACGAGTTCCAAGTATCGGACTTCAACCATTTTGCTGCACTACGTCCCTGGTGTATTGGATTTTGGTGACGCGTTATTGCGTTCAGGCGAATCGAGACGAATTGAAAACGCGGTTTTGACAAATTCGTTTATTTTTTATTACTCCTGAGTCGGGGTTTTTATACAAAATTCAAAGAGCCTATTTTAAACACTAAAAATTTTATTTAGTAAAAATTCACATATTAACAATGAAGCTTTGGTAAAAAAACATTATTTAAGTGCTGATTTCACCCATTGTTAAACAATGTACTATTTGTTCTATTTAAGAATTATTTTATTGTTTAGTTTAAAATTTTTGTTGTGATGACACTTACGCTATGTTACACGTAGAGTACTTTCAATTGACGGTATTACGTCCATACTATATGTATACATAAAAATACATACATATAGCTAACAACTGTGAATCCGCCATTACGTCGTCGATGCCCTCCCTATACATAAATGAAAGCCAGTCAGTCAACTCAGAAGCCTCTCTTATTTTCATGTAACCCTGGTGAAAAGATGACGTCATTTGGGGAGAGATAATCCCGCTCATCTTTGTGCATCGTAAGTTAAAAAAAAACTCCCTAAGTGTACAAGGCTTTAAAAAATTGTGCATTATTTGTGTAAATACCTAGTTATTTTAAAGAATAAAATAGAGTAAAGTACATACTTACTGTAATGTTACATTAAAGAAAGAAAAGGCTTATTTGCATATAATTATTTTATTATTAAGTTATTATGTTCAATAATACATCAATTAAAACTACATGAATCATTCCTGTAAATAAAACTAGAAGAAGATAATTATTAGTAATAAGCTTAAGCTTATTACTAATAATTATCTTAATAGCTAGTTACTTTAAGATGTTACGCCCACCGAACAAAATTTATATGTATCCAATAGTTGTCGAGTTGCGGTTCGTGTGTGCAGCTACAATATTCCAAAATATCCCTCCACCCGACCTATATGGTCCTGGTATAAAAAGGGAGCAAACCATTGTTCTCACGCACACGCACTTTTTTGTTATAAAAATAAGTGTATCCTCCAAATAACCTTTGTCCCGAGTAGGTATAGATGTCTACTCAAAAAGGACACCTTTGATCAACAAAGTTTCTTCATCTAGGTATCCATATTATGTCTTTATTTTATATGTGAAGTAAAAAATTAGAAGAACACTTAAAAAAATATACAAATTGAAAATATTTTCAGAACATACTTTCGGAAGGATTTTCGTATATAAAAAACTCGGTAATTCCATACATCTTATATAAAGAACAAATTTAGATGAGCAGCGGTAAACATGTTATCACTGAGTGATGTGGTTACGCGATGCAAAATGCAATTGCGCGCAGTGAGCGTACTGGTGTGAATGGCCACCGCAAGGGTGCAACGCACTGCAGTCTGATGTCCTTGAGCTGATCCTTTCGCAGGATGACGACACTCATTCGTTTACCTCCTACATTAATGTGTTACCCTGGTAGCCACAGGATATTTCGTCCCTTTGGGACTGCGCCCACACGTCCTTAAGGGAACGAGGATGCTTAAGGACCTTTTCTTGGTAAGGAGTGAACGAGATTTTTAAATTGGAGCTGATATTAAGACTGTATGTGAGACAAGTTAAGTTTTTCTCCTCTGCGTCGTGTGATTTCGATTCCCATTCTTTATTTGTTTTGTTATTCTTATCTCTCACAATGTTAAATCGAGTCTCGTGTAGTATTTTTTTAGTTCTATTTCGAGATTAGGAAAAAAAATACAAATATTTAATAACGAATCCATTGTTCAGAACTCAAAAACATTGTATAGGTTTATTGTACTTTATACATACTAGTACAGGTGTTCTGGTATGTCTAAGTACTAGAAAAAATAGTTTTGTACTACTTTATAAATTATTAAGTCATTATAGATTTGGCTTGCTTTTATTACAAATTTAAAATACCGAGTAAAAGTGAGAAACCACAATGAAACTCTGGAAAAAATCTCTTCACATGTCCTTCATCCCTATTATCTGTTGACGTCATCTTAATAGACTGTATCCCTTGAGTACCACCCTGATGAACTGCGAAAATAAATAAAATAAATATATAACTAAAAAACTATTTTTTTTTTAATTATTTATTAAGAATAGTATAAAACGTAAGTATAAAACTGGCCAGTGTGTTAAATTTAGTTTAAATGTAATAAATAAAATCGTATATTCTTGTAAACGTCATAATGTTAACTAAAGGGGAAAAGTAAAACCAGCGTGTTTTATGCAATTTATCAACTAGAAAGTTGTTCAATTATAAAAAGCTTTTTTGAAGATTCTAATTCAATACGTAAGTTATTAAAATAATTATATATGTATATATAAAAGAATTCCGTTAATCGTGTGTAATAATGACAAAAGTCCTTGTAAAAATTATACATTATCATTACTCACTCTTGTATCATTTAACAACAGACGTTGAATAATTACATTAACGAGTGTGAGCGAGAGAGCCCCGCACCCTCTGTTATCCTTCTCTCTCAACGGAGCTTTTGTGGAGCTTTTAGCCTTGAAGACTCGTCCTTTGCTCTGTTATCCTGGTACGTTCCCGCGTCATTAGCGTCGTTGTCGCTAGCCGCTTTCTCTTCAGCACTTCCAGAGAGGGACACAGGGAGGGTGCGATCATAAAACGTATTTTTTGTGATCGCACCTTCTCTGTTTCTCATTTCACTAAATGATGTGACACTACAGAAGTACAAAATAAACAAATGTTGATAATGAAGGGAAAAAATATTTAAATTTAGAACCTGTTTGAATATACGGAAAATATTATCAAACAGGTTCTATATATTTATACGAAAAAAATCACCCATGACAGTTATTTAAAGTTTGTGCAACTAGATTAATTTGAACTTTTATGGCTATGGTAATTTTATATAATTATTTAGTATTAAAATAAATTGCAAATACACATTTAATAAATTTGTTTAATTATGTTAATAAGATTAATTATGTAAGATCTGAGGACGCTTTTAAATAACCAAAACAAAAACTTTACTAGCTTATCTTATACTCAGAAATTGTTTCAGAATGCAATGGGGTTCGCATGGCATATATGACGACAAGTACGATAACACCAAACACGACAGTCTCCATGCAGATGACATCGCCATCTATGCTGCAAGAACTGACACCCGCCGCCCCCGCATGCCCGGAGGCGACTAGCATTATCAATCCATTAGGAAGACTGCGAGTGGCTATGAAGAATTCTAGTTATTTGGATGCGTTTTTGATTTTTTATAGCGATGAACATTTGGTAAGAATCAGTGAAAATTAAAAAAAAGGCGTCTTTTGGCTTGCGTTGGATTGTTGATTAAATATCAACTGTGATGAATCAGCTTTTCTAAGTGAATTAAAAAATCCTTTGTTTACTTATTAATACTTTAATTATTTGTCAACAAGAAAAAATATTTTGCCCAAATTTTTTAATTAAAAACCAACAAATGTAAATATTTAGGGCAAGGACACGGCTCGAACATGCGAGTATCGCCGTGCCCCGTGCCTTGTCACTTATATATGTATACTAAAAGACCTATATACACCAGGCATGTGGATGTAAATGTAAAATAATGCAATTAAGGGATCGATATATAACAATGATAATATTTAGAGTGAAGAACCGTCTCCCGATGAAAGGAGACTGGAGTACATAAGTGGATGGGATGGTCCCGGAACAGCTGCTGTGTTAGCTGCGGGTGGAGCTGCTATATGGGTCCCTGCAGCTGAAGTCAGAAGAGCTAAAATGACCCTGTCTTGTGCATGGCTGGTGCTCGATGGAGACGATCCCAGTCAACCGACGATTGCGGAGTGGATTGGTGTACGTATGGAAATACATATATTATATTAGTACATAAAGTACACTACTATTGGAAAATTTATTAAGAAACCATAAGTTAATGACCCTTACGTTGCACCATACTTCTTTAACATCTATCAATGACCCTACTTAGTTTGACATACCAGAAATTTTTAAGTTTAGTTACCTAAAATTTTCGTTTAATATAAAGTTTGTGTAAATTTCAATATTTTTTTATGTTTGCTAGCATAAGTTTTATTGAAGTAGCAGTAGGTTTAGCCTAACTCTATAATAATTCATTACGTTTAACCACGAACATTAGATACGTAAATTTGTAAAATCATTCTTGCATCTTGTCTCTTCTTTTTAATGTGGTTAATATTAAATTACTGTCAAAAATGGGTTTGTATCTATCTATAATGTTTTCTCTGATGTTAAATAGAGATTCCTCTTATGTTAGGGCACTGCAATACGCAACGGCCGCGTTGGTGCTGATGTCCGGCTTACATCCTTTGGGGAATGGCAGTCGTTATCAACTAGTCTCCAACGTGAAAACTTACAACTAGTTCCGCAATCCACATTGGTAGACCAGCTATGGAACCAAGAAACAGATCCTATGTGGAAAAGGCCACAGTTTACAAGAGTCGTTGCTATGTCTCACAATCCGGAGTATATTGGTAATGATATTGAAGTTATTATTGATGGACATAAATTAATTTATTTCATAGACGCCGTTTTACTTAAGTTATAGAAGATACTTAAGTTGCCTTTTTTATAAAACAACTTAAACCTTTTGTATATAAAATTAATCATTTAACCTCACAACAACATGCGCCGTCAGGTTCTTTTATAAACCACGTGCATTTAAAAACGGCCGGTTAGTAGTACTTTTGTTATTATAGTTGTATACTACCTACCTACTTTAAATTTCTCTTCAGGAATGACATGGCGAGAAAAGCTAACGGCAGTACGGAATGAGTTGCAAGCAGTCGGAGCCGATGCTATGATTGTAACAGCATTAGATGAAGTGGCGTGGCTACTTAATATACGCGGCAAGGACCTCCCCTATGCTCCGTTACTCAAGGCTTTTGTGATAGTCAGTCATAGAGACGTCAGAATTTATGTGCCTCCTGGAAAACTTATGATGCCTGAACGAGATGCTTTAGCCGCTTATAATTGTTATCCTAACGTCATAAATTGTACCAGGTATAATGCCTTTGATGCCTTGCCAATAATGCCTTTTATCGGTTTTAATTATTAACCAGTTCACCTTTCAAAAGATTACAAAAGTTTAATAAAGGTTTAAATTACATCTTATGCAAAGATGTATTGTACTTACCTAAAACTTTTGTATTTAAATAAATGATACCACGTTTTACTTAATTTCGCTCAATTTAACTTTTGTCAACAAAAACCTTTGTTGTATGTTTTAAATATAAAACAGATATACAGAATAAACGTGATTTTCTAATACATTTTTATTACAGCGTGAAGGATTACGAGACAGTTTATTCTGATCTTCGCAAAGCACCAGAACTGAAGATCCTCATACCAACTGGAGGGACTTTTCAACGAGGAGCGTCGGCGGCTGTTACCCAAGCCATAATGGCGTCAAAGCGAATGTTCCAGCCCTCCCCCATTATCTACTTGAAGGCTCAGAAGAATTCCGCTGAAATAAAAGGCATGAAGAAGGCACATTTACGAGATGCGGTCGCTATGTGTACTGTACTTAACTATTTGGAGAAAAAGGTAAAAATGTGCTTGTCAACCAGTTATTACAAACATCCATGCAAAAAACAGTAAATGTAAAGACAAAAATAGAATAAGATATGAAAAAAGCATAACACCCCAATTAATCTATCTCTTTGACATTTATTTTTTTAGGGTAAAGGAAGCCTTGACGAACTTTTGGTAGGAGAAAAAATAGACGCTACTAGAGCTACCCAGGCTGGATACCGAGGACTTTCAATGCGAACCCGAGTAGCTTATGGGCCTAACGGCGCAGAACCTGAATACCGGGCGACGAATGCTACCAATCGCAGAATATTCACCAACTCAACGCTTATAATACAATCTGGAGGCCAATATGAGGGTAATACGTAATAACTGCTACATCTTTTCACCATGAAAAATAAAGGAAATCGTTTGTCTGCATATGTAATAAAGTAATTAAAATAGAGTGTGTGTGTGATACACAAAAGGTGACAGAACTAAAAAGAAATTGACAGGCTCGTTGTGCAAACGGTTACAATGCATTGCTAATAATCAACGTATCACGAGGTCGATCCAACTTGTGTTTAATCAAGTTACGATTTTTCTGAAACTTAGTCCGGGTCAAGCACCACCGACCACAGATGAAAAAACTGTAAAGTTTTATCGTGTTACGTTTTCAGTCTGTAGATTTCCGTATATCTAAAGCCAAAATACGCCGACTGACTTATTGACTATATTTTTAGAAGGAACAACAGTGGTGACCCGTACTCTACATTATGGCACACCGAGTCGGGACGAACGACGCGCTTACACTACTGTATTACGAGCGCTGGCTGCTTTTGCGATGCTGCAAACCCCAGCGACCTTACCTGCTGCACATGCTGACCCTGTAGCTAGAGCGCCGCTGTGGGCATCTCGTCAGGACTATTTGTTACCCACAGGACATGGGGTCGGCGCTGCGCTTAATCGACGAGAAGGTAGGAGTCAATTAACACCAACTTGATTATAAATCGAAAAAAAAATATAATATAGTGACATCACGGAACGCTGTGGATGCGATTGGCCGATCGTTTTTTTAATATTTATAATGAACTTTAATAACATGCTATCAGGAGCAAAAAAGTTTAAAGTTTTCAAAGGTAGCTTTAATACTTTCTATGACAAGTATAACTGACGTTATTGTACATAGCACCATGTAGCTTTTTCCGGTTCAGCGGTTTTCGCGGACACCAGCTACTTACATTAAAATATATAACACAGCTTAATTCGATCTCAATAATTATCAGTAAGTTGAATTAATTTACCGACCAAAATACGAGTAGCTATCGGTGTCCGCCGCGGGCCAGTCTTTGCCACGCATAGCAATTCCTACCAATTGTCTTATTGTGTTAAATAAAGTCGTCAACTATCTATATCAATGATCAATCCCTCCCACATTATGTGTTGTTATAAGTAACTATTGATCTTCTTCATCGTGGCTTAATGGTGTACGTATTACGGCTTAGAATTAGACGAGAGAGGCCCAGATTTAATAATAGGAAAATTTTAGTTTTTCTTAACTACCATTTTCATTTTTTCTAATTTTTATTCACAGATATCCTGACTTCTTTTTTTTCTTTTTATTATAGATCCGGTGGTGATTGACTACCGTCAAGACACTAACTTGCACACGTTTCGTGAAGGTTACTTTGTTACAAACGGTAAGATTTCCTTTTTTTAAGATATATAATACCTACTCGTTTGACATTTTGTATTAAGTCATATTGTCTCTAGTGTACCTGAGTAGTAAATTAAAAAAAAACGCTTTTAACGGTTTAAAACATGAAATAGGCAGAGTATTTTTTATTCTTTTTGTCTTCTCGACACCGACGGTTGCAGTACAGAAAACTAATCAAAAATAAGTTTAACGAATATATTTCACGTTTTAAACGGTTAAATGTTATCTTAAATGATTTTTCTAGAACCTGCTTGGCATGAAGCTCGCAAGTTTGGCGTTAAACTGAGTAATGTACTAGAGGTAATCCAAAGGTCATCGGGATATCTGGGCTTTAAAGAAACTACCCTACTTCCCTACGAGCCAAAACTCATTGATAAAAATATGCTAACAGATTATGAGGTAACTTTTTAATACTAAATTTATTTATTAATTTCCAGTATTTTTAATGCACATCTGCCATTAGCAATCAATAAAACAAAGTAGTAAGGTGGCGCCATCTAGTTTAAAAAGAACCGCGTAAACTTTTTACCACAACTATACCGTGCACAATACAATTTTGTGGACACCTTTAAATTAATATTTTATAGGATATAAGGGTAAACGTGTCCAGATAAAAATAACATTACGTGACATTCATTGGGGTCTGAACCATGAGATAACACAGTTTAAAAAGAGCCTTTAAGATGGATAATTAATTGTTTGTTGCAGATAAATTGGTTAAACGCTTACAATAAAAGAATTCGTGATACAATCGGACCAGAATTAACAGCTCAAGGCCTTACAGATGTTTACTATTGGGTCATGAATAAAACCGTAGAAATCGAACTGCCTTCCAAAACCAAAAAACAGGCCAATTCTGCGTTTATTAAGCATACTACTATAGCCATGATATGTATATCTGTTGCTTTGACAATTCTATAATATGTATTTGAATCAATTTAAATGAAGCATAGTGTATTTATATCTAAATTATTACTAGGTGTTGTTTCGTGTTAAATGTAATGTGCGATGCAGTTGAGTTGATGCATTTCATATTTAAAAAACGTGTTCTTGAAATAATATTTAAAGAAAGATAGTTCTTAATATACCCGCAGTATATTAAGAATTAATAGAAGTTACCATATTATACATACACTATGTTACTATTAGTTTGTAACGTATATACATATCATTATTTATAACAAAATCTTTATATTGTGAAGTTACCACAGGAAATGTGTTAGTTAAGAACTATAATAAGCTATGCCTACTAGATTCTATTGACTTTTAGAGGGTAGAAATAAAATTGGACAAACACCGAGTGCCTTACTTCCGTAGTGTTATAATATATTGGATGTGTAGATTCAGTACGAAATAAATAAGTTTATAATATTAATGCTACATATTTAAAAGCTTTATTATATTGGCTTCGGTGGCACTATATAAATTGAGTATGTATTTAGATCGAAATTCGACAAAAAGGGCGGGACTTGAACAGGCATTCACTGAGATCCTTACTGTTGCTGCCACCAATTTAAATATAATTTTTATAAGTATATAAGATATATGAATGTGTACATACAAGTCTTCTTGTTGGTGGTGCCTTATGCTGTGTAACAAAGTATCAAAATGTGCCTTCATTTTTAATGACATATTTCCTTTGATATGGCCATTCACAAATTGTAATATTCCTGTATTTGAACGAGACCATTTTAAAAATAAAAATTTTAAGACAAAAAATAATCGATGTCTCGTTCTTATGTATCGACAACTATGTTTAAATACAGGTTTAAACTTTTTATACGTAATTGTAAAATTTTAACGGTTGTAATTTTTTAATTGTAAACCGTAATGTTATGTGCACCAAACTTCAATTGGCCAAGTACCAACATAAAACTGTATGAAGGCTAGGACAATTTAAATAACACTGGCTGAGTAACCTTTATAAGTAAATAAAATATTATTTATCTGTAGTAATAACGATAACCAGTAAGCAATATAGTAGATGCTTAATTTGTGCATCACTGCCAAATGTAATGCACATATCACAATAAAACAACAAAATTTAAATTAAATGGTTTTATTTATATTGGTCCATAACAACATTGCACGTGTATAATATAATACCCCAATTAATACTTACAAGTTTTTAAAACCGTTTAATTGACAAATGCAATATTTCTAGGAGAAATAAAACAATTTAGAATTAATAACAAAGCAATACATTTAGCGTTACACACTATATGTGTTACTAAGACATATTAAAAAAATAACAATATTTTCTACGCCATATAGAACCAATTAAAAAGAGTTTAATAAATATTTCTATATACATATCGATTCATGTAAATCGGCACCAAATTCCATTGATCAATGTTGTCCATTGTCAATCAACGTTAATAATATAACAAAAATCTCAGTCAATCTTAAAAAACAAAAAAATACATTTTTACGTACAAGGCTTTACTATTAAAGAAAAAAGGAGATTTCAACCATTTGACCAAGTGTTGTATCAATAACAAAGTCGCAAATACAAGCAGATTAATTACAGACATATAAGTTATAATTAAAATAAGTTGCATTAAATAGTTTTATAGTATTTTAGGGCATCACAGGTGTTAGCGTATTTCGTGATCCTAATTTTTATCTACTCGACAAGCAATTGATTTTAAAATATAAAACTTTTTTACGTTTTACATACTTGTAAAAAATGCTTATCGCTCTTACATAATAATCTAGTGAACCACCATGAAGCTGAAGCAAAAGGATTCATCTTCTTAAATCCACCATTTCCACGGGCGATGTGTTGTCCAGGCGCATATGCGTTACATTCTGAAAGGATTATACGAATTTTAAGTTCAATAAGAGAAACATGCAGTGCTCTTTTATGAGTAAACATATAATCTATTATCATAATATAACACATTGTAACTTTTGGTGGTTGATTTTTTAAGGCATTATATTAATTTTCGAAGCATGTTATTAAAAATATGAATAAATTCTTAACAAGATAGGCTGCCTGTACTGGATAGTCATACATTTAAGTATTGATAGTAATATCAATATTACATTAAGTAATTTTCAAAGACATTTTATTTAATTTTTGACATAATTAAGCCACTTATTTAAATAATAATACATACTTACATAAAATAGTGGTGGATCATTTGGGTGGGGATGGAACCCGGTCTCCCGACAATTCGCGATGAATTTCATGCCATAGTCCGGTGTAAGGGCGAAATAGCCCGTTCTGAAAACATATATAGATACTTAAGTAAGTAAGTAGTAGAGGTGCCCAAAGATAGTTTTTGTTCAAGGTTGAATACAAATTAAATAAATACATAATTAATTTTGCCCTCTACTCTGTACTTCAAAATATAATTATCTATTCTAATAAGTAAGTACCCCAGCCATCATTTCAATATTTACAAATCTACAGAATAAAATATAATTAAACTTCATAGCTGTTTCATCTGTGGATGGTGAATGTTGATCTGGATCAAGAATCAGAATCCTCTTTAATATCCAGATTCCCAGATGAATTCCAACATGCTTCAGAAGAACTATAAATAGATTAGTTAATTGTGTTATTTCCTGGTACTCACTCGTTGTATTTAGGCGCACAGACGATAGCAATGGCCTCTGCCATCATAAGTTGGTAGGAACACTGTGTGTGCAGGTCTACTGAAGACAGGAATGCTGTTTGCGTTGGATGGGTCTGTTGAATAGTAATAACTTAAAGCGCACACTACTTACACTACCATATACATAGACACAATTCACCATTCATGTTAAATTTTGAATAAAATTATAAAAGTTTCTTAGTGAAGATGTATGTAAACATTTTTACTAACTACATAAAAATAAACATATTTCTCCCTGCAAATAATGTGAACAACTAAATTACTATTAAATAAAATTGAATATTCCACAGCCCCCGATATGATTCATATAGTCTTTGATAAGTACAGATAAACTTTAAGGCTTTAGTTGATGTAACCTGTTAAAAACTTACATGTATCCAACCAAGAGTAATGAGGTTATGTTGGTCCTGATAGTAGAATATTTCTTCTTCATTATTAGTACTGCAAGAGTCAGCTGTACCAGATTGTTTTGGCACAATCACATGAGTTATTTTCAACTGATTTTTTTCCTGCAAGCATATGACATATTACATTAATTAAAATACTCACAACAATCATTTTATCAGGAACATGATATAACTTACCAACCTTCCAGCTAAAATGCCGCATAACTCAATATTTTTGGCAGTGTTTGCCGCAGCTATAGTGAGGAATTTCGCCATGAGAGTTGCTGGTACCACCACAGTTCGTAGACCTCCCGCCATTGGTAATAAGTCACTGTAATCTTCCCTGGTTTAATGAAAAATGAAAGAATTCATTTTTTATATCATTCATAGAGCATTCTGTTACGAAAATATATTTTATTTCTAAGTATGTTGTATGATAAAGTCCCTTCAGTCTAAATCCCATTCTGTCAGTCACAGAAATCTGATCAGTATTTACTTTGCCAATGTGTTTTTGTATCTAGAATATTAAACTGCTTAATGATTTATAAAGAATACTTACTGTATCGGCTTAGGTGGAATTAGTGGTGGTACAGGTTTATAATGATGTGCTGGTGCTCTAGGAGGTTCAGTGGCAAAGTCATCTGGATATAAAACACCATCTACTGGCGGTGCACTTGGTGTTACGGCCCAGTTCTCCTGAAGGTAACAAAACTTAAGCTTAACATCTTATATTCATACTTACTTTTGTATATTTTACATTGTGTACCTTTTAAAAAAACATATAGTGGTAATTGTATTAAACAATATATAAAAAAAAAATAAGAATACACACCGTATGAGTAAGATGCGGTGTGGTGGCATTACCATCTTGTCTATTCTCATCAGCCTGCAGCCTCTGTGCCAATTTTGCATCCTCCTGCTCTTGTTTTCTTCTTGCCTCTTCTTGCACTTTTCGTTTAGACTAGAATTTAATCATCACAATTATCATTAGAATAACAGCATTACTTGCGTTTAAAGAAATTGCCATTATTAGTGAAACAAATATATGACATTTTTAATGCAAGTTTCGTTGAGATCTTTAAATAAAAACCTAAACAATACATAAAATATTGTTATAAGCCGATAAATCTAATTAATATGACCATCATGCTCAAATTCATGATATGTTGAAAACATATATTCTTTGTCTTTTAATATTTTGCTCTAACAATGTTAATAATAATTGAAAATAGTAATAAAAAAATCTTTTGTAACTGACCTCATTCTCTTTATAAAGTACATGTTCTTTAGTATATTGTTCTAAGAGTTTTTGTTTCAGTTTTTCAGCTTTAGGCATGACTTCTTTAAGCTTTGCCTGATTAACCGACTTGATGTCAGCAGGTATTGTATTGTACTCTGGGTGTTTACGAACTTTCTCCAAAAACAAAGTCATAAATTTCATATAAAGAATGTAGGCATTTTCAAGACTTCCTTCTGCGAGGTATACGTTTGCCATTCTCACCATTTCTAGCCCTGACCGATAATATCTGCAAAATTCAACCAAATTTTGATCATAGGCATGACTTTTAAGCCTTAGATAAGATTTTTTTTATTCAGTAGCTTTGGTCTACCTTCTAGGAGGAACATTTGGGTCTACTTCTACCATAGCTCCATAGTTAGCCAACTGCTTTACTCTAAAAGCCGGGTCAAGAGATGCTAAATCCGTTTTTCTCTTTTCAGGAGATTGCATTTTTTATAGGTATCTACTATATAAAAACTAGACGAAATTTGTATCGTGTTAGCTTAGTGATGCTAGTGATCGAATTCTAATGCTTATGTTTTTTAAATAATTTTTTCAACGAAAAGACTTTTCCTGAAAACAATGAAATGACGTTTTATTACAAAAATGAGTCACATTATAAGAGCGGTGACATGACAAGTAACGGACAATTGTCGAAATATGAGCCCTAATGTATGACATTTAATAACAGATTATATAAGCCATTGGCAGCATATCATATATATAATTATTATCCTCTCCATTAGTGCCCAAAGAAAATATTGTGCCTTAACTGAAGAGACAGTTGAAGTCGTTCCGCAAAAAGGAGCAATAAATCATCAACGTTTTTTTATATTTTATCTTATCATTTTTTTTTTCATTTATTTTAACGAAAACACTTGCAAAACAAGTTACAACAAATATAGCACCAACAGAAAAAAGGACACCAAACACAAGCTGTGCAGATATACAACAAGGCATGAGCTAAGTTAGAATAGAATTTACAATATATTAAGAAATATGGATAAAACGTTGGGAATCTACGGTGAATCCAAGGGCACGGCCGTTTGCGAAGAGTTTGAACAAATGCATCGTCACACTTGTCGCAATTCCATGCTTTATTGTCAGCATCTCTTATTATAAGCATAGTTTTTCTTCGGATATTCCGAAACCATTGTTGGTATCTTTTTTTGCGGTTAGTTATAGGCGTTACTTGTTTCAGTCTCGTTCTCCCAATTGCTGGACGAGGAGCTAAGTGTCCTCTGTAATTATTATTATATTGTTTATTATAATTACGTAAGTCCGAACATGTTTCACGGCGACAGACTTGGGTTTGCTTGATCCTTTTATAGCGACACATACACTGCTGCGATTGAGGAACTGGTGGCCTATTCTGTTCACGGTGATAAATTTCTTGTTTGGCATGTGATTGTGGTGAACTGACTTGACTGACTTCTTTATCTTTATAATAATCCGCATGAAATGGACATAAAACCTTCTCAAAAACAGGTCTGCTATATACATTAGATAGTGGAATATTTGTTTGTCTTTTTTGATTGAATGTGACACCCTTTTCCGGTTTCTTTATTGAAGATAATCGAGGAACTTTATGAGTTTTATAACAATGGTCACGTGATTTTTTTGTACTTTTTCCAACTACATTACTCTCTCTGTCTGAAACGTCATCGGTACGATTATTTACGCCAACACTATGAAACTTTGCATAGGGGTCACACGTGCACCTAGTTTCTTCAACATTCTTTGAATTATGGGTATCACTATATGGAGGTTTATTATCTTTAATCGTCTTACAATAATTCGATTCGTCAATCAACACTTGATTCTGATCCACAGGCAGGATTGCATCAGCCCTACTATGAAATTCAGGCTTAAAATTTCTTTCATTTTCTATGTGAAAATCGCTATTTTTTATAGTCATTTCTTTTAAACCAGAACTATGTTCTGGATTTTTTTTTCTTTGTTCTGTTTTAGTTGGCTTAATAAGCCAGCCTCTATCATTGTCATAAAAGAGATTGTATTTCTTTCTGGGATTTGGATATCTTTTATTACGATTAGAAGTATGACAACCAGTACCATTAATTATATTTTGATGTAAATTTCTATTCCGTTCATTTGATTTAGGTTTTATTGAAGAATAAAAGGTTTCAAATACATGTGTCCATTTCCTTGCTACAGCAACAACGAAACTGTAAATTGAAGTCCAAAATGCGTCATTATCCTGAGATTGACATGACTTATACTTGCAACTTTCAATATCATTCGCTGTTTTTAATATTTCATGTGGTCTCATTCTACAGGATAATATCCAAAGCAGGGACATTACCAAAATGCACGGAAACAATAGTAAAATGGCAAATCCGAGAAAAGCGTATTTTAATGCCTTTGCCAATAGAGAATAAATTGGTCTTACTGTTCGTGTTGTTTTCTTACCTCTTCGACGTTTGTAATTTGGAACTGATCTTTTAGAACAGGTCGTTTTAATGTTTACTGGCTTTTCTCTTTGCTTTGTGCTGTAAATAGAAGTTTGAATAGCTAACGAGGGCGTGATATCGCCTCCTCCTTTTATATGTTCAGTACGAGAAGGAATAAGCCTAGCTTTACAGGGACTTGGAATAATATACTCGTAATTTACAGCATTAATGCAACTTGTTTCTGGTTTTGCTATAGTTGCATTCGGGAAATCTACGACATTATAAGTTGCCGTCAATTTGTGAACCTGATGAGGACATGGAGCATTATTTTTGCTGTTAAAATTGTCGCGTAATGCGTGGTCAGAGTAAAAGTGTCTACAATACTTATGTTTACAATAATGTGCTTGAAGACTTGTGTGGCGATGACAGCCTTGTGGTATATTTAATTTATTGAAATTATTTTTCCTATGTCTTAAAGCTCTCTTTTGTGCTTCCTTCAAGTCACACGACGATTTAGAATTAAAATAAATTGCATATTTTCTAAAATCCGCTTTGGATCCCTTTTCTTTTCTTCTAGATTTCCAATTATTTGACTGATAAAGTATTTCTAAACTATTATCTGTATTCTTTTTAAGTGGTACCGTTTTCTTTGGTTTACTTTTGTCACATTCCCTACACAATTTAATAAACTTTTCTTTAATTGTATTGGAACAAAGTGTTGGATTTGGTAAAACTTTTTTCTTACGATGCCGACGATCTCTTAGTAAGACGCTAGTAGAAAATGCACCTGCAATAACCATTTTGGTCACAAATTAACCAGGAATAACAGCTAAGACTATCAAAGTAACATGAAAATAGTACCTTTATTATGACGACTTAGATCATCCCTTGATTTATTAAACGGCCAATTCTTGAAGATATTGTCCGGATTTACTGGAATTTGAGGCTCGAACAATTGGGAGACTAGTTCATCTTTGACTTCTCTTGAACTATACAAATTATGTTCTTCATTTTGCTTTCCATTTTTTTCAGAATTATAATCATCATTATCCGGGAAATCAATAAGATGCAATCCGTGCATAAATAATTGATCTACTGATATTTTCTCCAAGAGTAAATGCCTTTATCTTAAACAGCTGTGGTTTGGTATTCCACTGTACTGCTATTAAAACTATGTGTAAACCCTTATACATTATTATATTCAATAATAAATAAATCCTAGAAAAGTATACGATTCACAAAAGTAACATTATTATTCCTGTCATTGGCGTACTTTGACACTATAATCGTAAATGACATACGTTTATTGTAAGGTACTTCATAAGTGTATAGTAGGTATATTTTCTTTGAACATACGGACTCACACACCGCATTAGTAAGACATACATGGAACAGTCATAGTATTATTTTACTTGATATTATATTATTTTTTTAACTCCAACCGGATGCCTTGCATCAGTCATGGTAACCGGGAGTCAAACTAGTAGAAATTTTGGAATTTAAAAGCTTAGCCATGTGTCTCAGCTAACAAAATGATTACATCATAAATAAATAGTAAACCTGTATAATGTTTTAATTATCACAACAACATGTACAAAAGCAACATTTACATATCTCTAAGCAGAGTATTGCCGGAACCCAAAATAATATGCCCAATAGGAAGAGAAGAATAAACCGTAGATTTTTCCATTGCTGCCTGGCGCTTAGATATTGGGGATAGAACTGCGGCCAACGATGATTAATCCAAAGTTGTGGGGATCTTTGAAGCGACATCAGATAGCAGTCACGAGCGGCTGTGTTCCATTTTCGTTCAGATTTAGATGGCCTATTATTATAATACCTAGAATGTTGATGATCTGTAACCATCGGCGTTTGGTGAAGAAGCGTTCTTCGCATAGTTGCTAATAGATCATATTTATTAACTTTCGTTATGCCCTTACAGTCACTATCCAACGCAATTACTTTGTCAAAGAAATTGTGTACCTTATCAACCAGCATTCTGTTTTTCTTTTTCTTACATTTTTTAGACCTTCTTTCGTACTTCTGGCATTTCTCTACAGCACTCGTGACCTGTTCCAATTTCTTTTTTGCTTTTTTGAATGTGATTGACTGGGACTTGGTTTTTTTATCCAGTTTTGTTAACTCTTTTATTTTCTTTTGTAGCTTCTTTTCTGTTAAGGAAAGTTCTTCTTTCTTTATTTTTAATTCATGTTCAAGTTCTTTTACTCGATCTGAATCGGATTCTTTCGTGCAAATTCTTCCTACACAAGGTAATTTACGCTCTTTTGTCTTCATTTTCCTTTTTTCGTAACAATAATTTTTTTGTTATAGTTTAGTTTCTTCGGATACTGTTCTGTCAGCACACTATACATGTCTGTATGTATTTTCGATAAACCTAAGTACACCAATTTATATATTCAGGACATAGACACCGCCTTAAATTTAAAATATTGTACCTAGTACATATCTGGTTGCATGAATGGTACTAGAGCACAAGAAGATTTAGCATATTTTAGTTAATTACATTGTTTGTTTCTTATTTGCACTGTTATTGCATTTTAGGTTTTTTTTTATGGATATAAATTATTTGTTTTCATGGCATATGACAGTAAATCGTCATTTTTTTTTAGCATGTAATAATTATTTAGGTAGGCACTAACCTGTAGTTGCAACTAAATTTATGCATATGTCACTAAATTTATATAAATACTAGTTGTGCCCGCGACTTCGTCCGCGTGGAATATGTACGCAAATGACTTGGGGTAGAATTTTTGATTATTTAGACTGTTTATTAATTTATGTAAGGGCGCATTTAAGGCAACCAATCTATGTTGTAAGTGCTACTTTGCAGCAACACTCTCACCTCACATCACTCCTACTCTAACACCCTCTCTCATTTCTACACTCACTCTCACTCTAACTCCCACTCCCACTCCTATTCCCAAAAAGCCAAAGAAGAAAGTTTCATTGTTCTATCTTCAAAAACCACGAATTTCCATACAACTTTTCCATACAACCCTTACACTGTATAATTTAAGAATCGAAAATAAATTTTAAAAATGTTCGACTCGGCCAGGTTTTAAACCGGCATCGTCATACGCGTCCCGTCGTTCGGGTCGTTCTTGCAAGTTAATCTTGCGTCGCGGACTTTTTTTTAGAACATTTAAAGGGGAATCTTTCATACACAAGTTTCAGGTATCTTGAACCTAAAGAGATGAACATTTTCCCCCGTTTTATTCACATTTCTCGCTGTATATTCGGTCCTATTAGTCACATCGCAATGTGTTATAGCCTATAACCTTCCTCTAACCAACACAAAAAGAATTTTTCAATTAGCACCAGTACTTCCTGAGATTAGCGCGTTCAAACAAACAAACTCTTCAGCTTTATTATTATATTATGCGTATAGATATTGCAAATAGTTGTATGTTGCAAGAAATAATTAAAACAGGCAGTCTATTGAGAAAAGACTTAATTAACTTATATGAGAGTTAATAAATGTTAAATTAATCATTTCTTTGGAATTAATTAATTAATTTTAATACTAATAGTAATTATTTATTTCGGAGTTTCTGTACTAGGATATAGATAAAAAATCAATAACTTTAAAGTCTCATGACCGACGATCCTTATTTAAGGGAAGCTTTTTGTAGACTTTTTTCCCGGATAACTACGGCCCACGATACCTCAAACTTTAACTATCCACACCCCGGTCAATTCGTATCCTCTTGAAGAATGGGTGGTCAACAGTATTTAAGTAATTTTCTGCTTTTGCAACTAGGTATGTCTGCAATACAATGTACAAATAGACAAATAAAAAAAAACTTTCGCCGTAAGATACTCCTCATAACTGCGCTTACATAAAAACATTGTATTTTATTTTAATTGACTTGTACAAAGTTGTATCATTTAGTTAAGCACTAAGCACAATCTAAGTCACGGGTACTGGCGACTACAGGGTCACAAGATACCTCGTAGGGAGGGTCGCCGGTTTGAGAGTTCAAAGTTTTCAAGAATCGAATGTGGAACCGACCAATAATAGCCGCAGAATGCGTGAAGTCTCCGTCGCATGCGCACGTCACGCGCCCGCGGTTTTAAAGTGACAGTTCCAGTGAACATTTATTTAAAATCTATTTTGTGGATTAGTTGATACCAGGTGAACACTTATTAAGTTTTATTACTATAAGATAACTATATAACTATTTACTTTCTGTCTTATAAGATAATTTTACTTTTGAGAATTTAGTTAATGTCGTTAGCGAGCGTTGAAATTTCTTAGCTTTCCTTTAGGTTTATTCTTGATTCCTTTGTGTTTATTTTTAACATGCGAAATATTTTAATCGAAATCGTCGATGTTCGGTACGTCTTAGAATAAAAATAAAATATTATATCGGACGTTCCTTTTTCTTGACATTGTACGTCTCTTATTATCTACGATTATTTTAAAATGTCTTTAAAAATACGAAGTAAATTTGTCCACCTCCGCGGTCGAAGATTTAACGTTCTGCCTAGTATTGTGTTAAGCGAGAGCGCCTGAGTTCGAATCCCGGGGGAAATTAATAGTTTCAGTTGGAAGTCATATAACCTACTTACCTGTATATAAACATTGTTTAATAAAACAGGCAGAAATGTGTCTGCCTCATGTACCACTTAGGGTGCGTTGGATTTCACACACTAGGTATACATATCTTACTTTTAATGTTATCGATGCATCGTCACGCTTAAAATGACCTATCTAATTAGAGCTAACAAGAATGTTAAGTCGCTAATGATACCTATTATATCTGAAACAATGCATTAACATTACGTGTGTAACACTGTGTAATGTGTAGGGACTGTAAAACAACAATATTGAAAATATTTTTATCAGTAACACGATAATTTGATAAATAAAGCTGGCTTAAAGTAAATATTTTTACAATCTTATTACCCAACACGATGTTTTGTAGTTTAGGAAAAATAATATCTTATTCCACACATTCCTCTTATATTTTCACTTTTTTTGTAAAATCTTGTTTCTTCTACTCGTATCTATCTTAAACCTGTGCGAAACTATTTCTTATATCTCCCCGGATTTCCCCTCACTCTCAAAGCAGCCATCTATGCAAAGTTCTTTTTAAAAAAATACAACCCAAACGATTTAGATCATTTCATCTACGTTCTCATCATCGCTCGTTGCTAACTAACCGGAAAAAGTATGAAACATTTGCAGTTGATTACTATCACATGTTTAAATACTGATATAAATCACCTTTTACAGACTACTCGTCCAATGGCGGCATACCAGTTCACATGTTTACTCCTCGTGGTCATATACGGTAAGGTTTACCTTCAGATAACGTGTACATAATATTAACAGTATCTAAAGTAACTTACGTTCGTTATTACCATACATTATTACTTGACTAAAACAAACAATATGTCCTAGTACTGACAATACTGGCCATCTTATTTAAATAAACTAAAAAAAAATAAGATAATCCACTAGATTAAAAATAGGTATTGTAGAGTATACTAGCGATCCGCCCCGGTTTCGCTCGAGTGCAATTTTCTTACAAAATACACAACCGCAAAATCTGTGAGCGTTCCTATTGCATCACTATTTATTAAGAAACCGCATCAATATATGGTGTGTAGTTTTAAAGATTTAAGCGTACATAGGGGCAGAAAAGGCGACTTTGTTTTATACTTCCAGTTTTCAGACTGCCTGTTGCTTAAATTAAAAATCGATTTAGATTGAAAAAACTTATAATTTGTACACGTTATTTCTGTGTTTGTTGTTACATCATTGATTTCTAGAGAGTGCTCATACCACAAATATTATTTCGTAAAATATTAATAGGTATGTGTGAATCACGTAGTACCATATAGTATCTTCGTTAGTTCAAAGGAATCGAGATGTCATTAAAATGTAATTAATTTGCAATGATCGTGATGAATAGTGAATCGGTTCTTTGCTAAATGAACTATGACGCAAATGTGTGCTTTGAGTGAATACCAATAAGTGCTTATACCTAAAAGGAAAATAAACCTTATAGGTTGTGAGGAAAAACCTGTGTCATATTTAAAAAGCACCTAAAAGCGATTAGGTAAAACCAAATATGTATTAATCTACTCGGAGATACCTCAAAAAAAATATTGAAAAGTATTTAAGTAAAAAAAGTATGTAAGCTACTCAGACCGGTTAATCCTATTAAAGATATGCAAAGCAGCAGCTGGTCGTCAAGTAAAAATAATACACAAACATCTCCGAGCAAAAGTTTTCTTCCAAAAATGTACAGAACCATAAATAGCTTTATTACATAACACAATTTTAAAATACGTCTGACGTCTGTAGTATTTCTTATTAACATAATGATTCACTGCTTCTGTCCGTGAATGAATAAGATCTTAATCTCACTCATTTAGTATTTACCTTAGCGTGACCTTTAAGACTCTACTTTACCTTTGCAAACGTGACTGCACGTTTCGCTAACCATGAGATAGGGTCCGTCCGTTTGTAAATAAGTTTTATGCTAATTTAGCCCCAGTAGAATTGCATAATAATGTTGATATCGCATCGTAGTCCTATGTTCTTATATTAAGTGTTTATCTGAGTATTGTTATATCCTAAAGCAACTACTTATATGTTCTATTTTACCGTCAATCGAAAAAAGGATTTCTGAGGATGTCTAGGCTTTTTAGTCTTATCTGACAATTTTTAACTGAACCCGAAACTGTTACCTCTTCTTTTCACTTATATAGCAATTTTGTAAGCAAGGTTAGATGCTACTTTTTCCTTATGTATAAGGAAAATGCATTTTATCACATAATGCATTCTACATTTCAGAAATGTACAAAAATCAGATGCGACAAGGTTTAATTTTTTTAATTTCTAGCTTGAAAGTACGTTTCAATAACATTTAAGTAAGTTCTCATTCGTGATTATCTTCGAGACTTCAATACAAAACAGCTACCAGCCACATGGGTATATTAACATAAATGGTAGTTTTAGTAATCATTTGAGACAATATGTTAGCTAAACTTTGAGACAAATTTATGTTTTAAATGAGTTTGTCTTAATTGTATTTCATATTAAACAAGTTCATTTGTGAAAATTTACACCTTTTACTACAAACAGTTTTAACGCCTAAGCACAAAAGGTTGAGCTTTCTCTTTGTCGTAAATTGCATTTTACTCATGCATAAACCAATGCTTGGTAACCTAAGATTCGAAAAGTTGGCCGGACGAGAAATCTTAGCACTTTCAATGTCGATTAATACAGGTAGGGTTGGCAATAACAGCTAACCACAAATTTTAGGTTTTAGGCAATTTATTCGTTTCTTAATTCTGTAATTCAGTAGTGTAGTCATTAAATGAAATACATAGTTTAAAGTATTCATTTATTCGTGTGTAAATAATTTAGGTCTTATTTAAAACCAAATAAATAAACGTGTTTTATTTATACCAAATTTAAATATAAAAGCTTAAAATATTTACTCAGTTCGATAAGGAAGTACGCAATTATTTTATGTATGTCGCATCCGGGTTATGCGTACGGGACGTCAACAACACAAATGTCACTTCGACGTGTACAGAGTCTAGGCAACGGGAGAGGGCAACGATAATAAAAAGGAGCGCACTTGTTGAGTCGGACTTTTCCGTCCAGCTCTTACAGCTCCCACCCGCATTGCGGCGGTCCAAGCCGAGGCCGATGCCCTTGGCACCCTTGGTCTAGCCGCAAACACGGCGAGCGCTCACGCGCTCGCCCAAAATGCCCGGTTAGTATTTGTGGCTCCGTCTAAACACAATACGAAATAGTCCATCAAAAAAAAAATGAGTCGGACTTATAGTCACCTGCCAAGCAACTGACTATTATTATCTCTCACCCGGAACCCTCCTGATTCCGACAATGAGCGACCAAGAAGACAACGTGACTCCGACATGTAAAAAGCTGGTCTTATTCGCACGAAACCTTAAGCGATAGCCCTAGTCTTGTGTATACAGCCTGAATTTTATATACTAACTGAAACTGGTTTTGCGTCACCTCGGTGATTTTGTTCGTAGCAGCCAGGGAGCTCTCCAGATTGCAAAGTTAAAACCTTCCTCCTGCCCCTTCCTTTAAACGTCTGTGTTGAAATTTTGGAAAAAAATGTCACCACTATTCCCGTTCATAATATGTTAGGTTTACAGTTTCCTGGTCCATTGTATGATCATATTCTTAAAATGCGTTGATCCTCAGACATCTGACTTAACTTCGCAATGAAAATTATAATAGTTCCGTCAATAATACAAACGAGGTTAAGCTGGATACAAGCTGCTATTCATTATATAATTGCGTCTTAATATATGTAGGGACTTATTTAAAATTATAAACAGTTCACGACGAGCGCCGGTTGGCCGCAATTCCCACAGGAATCTGTAATTATTTAGCCAGGATTAGCGAATGTCGTAAATGGTTTTGCACGTGATTTAATTTGAATTTGTTTTTAAACATTTATTGAATAATACATTGCTTAATATGTCGCCAATAAGATAATACTATATAAATGAATAATCACGGGCAGGACTTGAACCAGCATTTACAACTTTGTTAGAACAACAGCAGGGAAAGTTGTGCACATTATTAAAGTTTTCAAAATCATACTAGCTAAAAAATAATAAATCCTTAAGTTATCTTAAATTACATATTTTGATGATCACTCGCGTGAACTACAAATACTAAGTTGACTTTGTGTAAATAAAACACTTAGGAGTATCTCAGTTATATATATTTATTTGAAACGAAAAGCGATCTTGCGGAATGCCAAAGAAACGATAAAGAAACATGCCACGATGTTGACTAATGAATCTTGTACCGAGATACCGGCTTCAAGATGTAATCACCTTCCACTCTTGTCCAACATTGAATCCGAAATGAATCTGAAGCTTATTGCAAAGTCAATATATTTCACTTTTTGTTCGATTTCAAGCAGATTTGCAGAGGCATTGTATTCAGAATAACACGCGTTCTATCGTTGTCAATGGTTTTGGTTTTACTTTTGACAAATGCGTTGATTCTCAAAATCGATAAAATAAACATTTCAGTAGTAGAAGGTAGTACGCGAGAGGTGCATACATACAATAAATTTAGAAAATCGAAGATACAGCACAACAGCATATAAATGTGTCGTCGTCTGTTCGAGTCCTAAACCTTTTACAGTCTAAAATACATTTAAATTTTCCTTAAATAGTAACTAATAGTAGTTTTGAGTATATTGAAAGACACATTTTTCACGACATGGGACCGTAATGAACCTACAGCCGCAACGTCTCGTTCTATTGTCTTGATTCTTAAGGTATCCACGCTAATATTAGAAATGTGATATTTCTTATATTACACAAATATACTGTGCACCTTTTTCACGCATTTATTTAAGCTTTCATTTGAATTAACATATACAATTTATCAGCGTTTATTACAGTAATAGTTATTACATTTTTTTTCAAGTACAATGTGTTAGGACAATAGGAAAAATTATCTTCTATCTTCCAAGATAGAATTTTCTTGTCTTTAATCAAATTCAATGTAGGTAACATTGAATTTGCTAAGCAAAACTGTGGGAAAATGTTCTTTATAATAGATAGGCGTAATGTACGCCTTCGGCTTATACAGATAAATTCTATTTCGTCATAAAGACATCATTCTCATATCTTTTTTACTGTACCCTTATGTTGCATTATATCAGTTCTCAAAGACAGGTTTTTATTGAAGTAAATTAAATTATATAAAAAAATATTTCATAAAACCTTTTACGTGTCTATTAAATGAATATACAATCGTTATGACAAAAAGTAGGGAGATTTTTGGAAAATATTGAATTTTGTTTATAAACTTATTTTTTATTTGCGTAAAAGTGTTCGCTTTGGGATAAGGCCGTTGTACTCCAACATTAGCTTTACTGTATGTCGTTTATCACTGTACGTGTGCAAGAGCTTGTTTATATTTATTAAATTCATCGATAAACTATGTGAATGCAATGATACTTCCGGCATGAGCAGGTGGGCTTGAGATTCGCTCGTTTATAGTATTATTTTCTGTATGGTTTTTACAAACTGGTTTTGTGTATTGGTAGTTCAATCTATACTAGTATATAGAGCTGACGAGTTTGTTTGTTTGTTGGAACGCGCTAATATCAGGAACTACTGGTTCGAATTAAAACAATATTTTTGTGTTGGTTAAAGCATTTATCCAGGAAGGCTAAAGGCTAAAACGGCGGTGTGACTAATAGGAGCCAAGAAACCGCGGGAAAAAACGGGGGAAATTGTTCATCTCTGTGGATTTTCGATGTGCACGCTGCAAAAATGATTCAAGATACCCAAAAAATATGTATAAAAAAATTCCTCTTTAAATGATCTAAAAAATGTCCGCGACAGTCTTTCCTTTAAGATTAACTTGAAAGAACGACGGAACGCGGCCCATGTCGTGGGCAGCTTAAATTTATAAAAATGAAGAGTTTGTAAAAACAAATTTGGATGCCCAAAATGACTATTCTACGCGGACGAAGTCAAAATACGTATAACCATCGTTTGATTGTTTCTTTCTTTGTTAAAAACAACACTCTCAGAAGATTTATCGGACTGCCTGTCGGACGAATGGGGGGAGGGGGTGTTAAACTAAATCTGCGTGCCTAACTAAAAACTAAAAAGCTATATCAAATCTGTAATTATTCGAATTCAATAATACTCAATGTATTTGAGGTAACTTGTTTTCGGTATAATGTACAAGGCTTAATATAATTTCCGTGCAACGTTTTGACTTATTAACAAGCGTTTTCCGGATGAATCATCTTCCGTATTATCAATAAATTCCAGCGGGTATACCTCGCAAGTAATGATCGTCTAGTAAAAACTCAAGAGTCGAGAATGACTAAGAGATGTTTCGATCATGTGTACACTTCTAGTTTACTTACGATGTGTAGATAATTGATAGGAATCGATTCAGAAATGTTTCATTCATACGACATCTAGTTAAGGTATGTGTTGCTTTCCGATTATTACAGATATTAACGGATGGTTTTATTTTAAAAGGGAAGATAATTAATACTTAGTGGATCTTGTTGAGATGTAATATGACTGGGGTATTTCTCCTACTGTCAAGTGATCTCCATGCTAGTCTGTTGTATGTAATAAAACATAAATAGTAATTTCATATTCATTTCGTACAGTGAAATAATTTTAGGAAACACTAATTTCATATAAGAAATATCGCTTTGCATTGCTGATCGTTTATACTTACTATGTCTTAATAAAACTATGTAGGTTAAAACTATAATTACTTATATTAGCTTCATACGTTTATTTCTTACAACTGTAGGGTAATGTCCCCTGAATATAAAACACTGCTTTATAATACTAACAACAAACAACTATAGAAGGATTACTAGGCACTAAATATAAAGCACTAGCAAACGTAAGGTTTCATACAACGGAGAATGTCAATTCGCAATGCAAATCCATGATTAATTTTGGCCACTAAATCATTAATGCCACTCGATTTATTTTACTTTCACCTCGACTTATGAGGTTACAATATCTAGAGAACTGAGCATAATGACTCACTTGGAGATCGCAAGATGCTAATCATTAAATACGATGTTTCAGATTTCCTCGTAACACATTCTTATACCGTTAAACATAAATATAAAACTTCAGACTGTGTGTCTGACCCACTAATCGAAATTTGGCTGGACCTACTGTTTGCTTTAGATTAAGCTAAGTGCCGCTGTCCACATAACCAGAGTTTAATTTTATCTATTTGAAATAAATATTATCTTTATGCAGATAACGGTAAATAGAGAGCCTAGCCGTTTAACTACTGGGGTCAAAGGCTATTATGTAAGAAACCCGTTGCCATGGCAATTTGAGCGTCGATGTCGGGAAATTAGAAAGATAAATTGAGTTAACATAACTAAACGTTAACAGTTTCAAATAAAAAGCATAATTTATTGACACTAAAAGGTGTTAAATAGAATGCATTGGAAATTTAAGAGCTACAAAAGCTTCAACTTGTAAAATGTAAGCTTGGGTGTAAGTGATACTGTTGCCTATCAACGCCTACGGAATTTCGTGCTTTCATTGCTAGTTTCGAGGTACTGTTACCATAAATAGTCTTTTGGTCATTTGAATAAAATAGGTACGCAATTTACCTCTTATCGTGATACACAAATCGTCGTTATTCTTTCACTCAATCACGGGCAAAAGGCAAAGATTATACGGGCTAAGCCGATTTTAGTGAAACCGTTCGTTATAGTATAAAAAATATCAAAACAAAGGTCTTAGTGGATACAATACTGAAACGTGGATATACGAATCATAGTGTTAAAATAAAAGTGCGTTTGTGCAGTGTTTTCAATTTATTATCGAGTCAATTTCTAATTTTATACATAGTTTAGTTTAATCTATAAAATCACGTCCAATTTTATTTATTTGTTCTAATATTTTTTCAATATATTAAATAAATAATTACTCCCTTTCAGCTTTCCAGTCATGTGAATGTCTGGACTCCATAGAAGATACTCCGCCGAGCCTGATGAAAGAAGTTGAGGACAATAGTCGCTACAAAACACTGGAAGCTAATGCTACACTTCTCAAGCTGCTTGTAGACAACAAGGATGGCGTAAGCAAGTATGTCACTTTAATTTCATTCTTAACTTGGTTACATATCAAAGTAGTTAGGAATTAGAATTTAAAAAATAACCGTGTTTGTGGAGATAATTTTTTTCGTTTTCCACTTAATATTTAAGTTGTTTTTTTTCTTCAGATCTGAGGTTTTTGACATGCTCCACTCTCGCGATGAAATACGCGACCACATAGATCTTCCAACATTCCCCGAGGACGCCGTGGAGGGGCGAGTTGATGTCCCAGTAATTCCAGACGCGCAGGCCGAGTTCTTACAAGGTAATTGTTTGCATACTACTATAAAAGCAAAGGTCAATGATCGCTTGTTTAGAAAAAAAACGGTATCAAAATTGTATGAATATGAAAAATAATAAAATGTCAATTAGCATTTGATCATAAAGGCAGGTTGTGCGAATTCAAAAATGCTTATTTTCTTTATAGTTTTCTTCCAACATAATGTCCCTTCCTGGACAAAAATTGGCCTAAACTTTTTTGATACCTATGAGTTATGACTAGCTACATAGTCTAATGACCCATTCCTACGCAATACACTGATAACACTCTCTTTAATCTACGAAAAGTAAATTGCAATAATTGCCACTGTAAACATTAAGATAACCCACTGACTTAAAACCGTGCGTCTCATTTATTGTACCTTAGATAAAAATCTTGATATGGCAAGATAATTGTACACTTATAGTAACTTATTATAGCAATAGGTTCAATTATCCCATATATTAGGTATAGTGTAAAATAAGAAAACGTCGTGAAGCTAAGTTAAATAAGTTCTTATTTATAATTACCATGTAAACAGCATAACTATTCCAACTTAAGATTTTTTATTATTTTATAGAAGAAGATACAGTTAGTAAAGACTCGCAGCAGATGCGGTACTCGGGAAGGGAGCCCGTGGGCGCCGCCGCCGGCATCATGGTTCTGGTGACTTGCAGCATCGTCTGCATTGCGTATACTGGTCTGATTGTATGGAGACGGATATTTATGTGAGTACTTTCAGATTTCATTTATACACAAGTACTCGTTTCCTAATAATTTATTAACTCAAATTTAATATAATAATCACTGTGAATATGACAGTAATATAAATATAAACTTTCTATTTGAAAAATAATACTTGTATTAATAAATTTGATGATGTTCCGATAAAAAAAAAACATAACTTAGGATTTCCATCTATTTGTTGCTTTATTCCGACTGGCATATAAACGTTACCTATTAAAACCTAACTATAAATAAAAATGAGGCTTGTAAACCTCACAACTCGGGTTACGGCATGAAACCCTTAACTTCTCAGCGTGAAGCCGCGTTGTGTGGTAACCCGATCCTGCGCAAGCGCAAATGCGTAGGAAGCGGTCAAGTGCGACGGAAACGCTCAACGTCGCGTGAACTCATAATTTGTTCATTTTATTTGGATAACTGACTCTTTTCCCTGTACACAAATTTGTTGAATCTTACTGGAAACATAAAGTGACAGGCTTATTCTGAAAACTTCATATTTTAAAATATCAATTTAAGGAGTAAGTAAGTAGCTGTAATGAGTGAAGTTGACAATTTTTAGCTTGATATACCTATAACTATAATTTTTGCAAAGCTATATAGCCATTTGCAGCCCTTTGGATATGCATATATCCAAGTCGAGAGCGCATCCTTTGTAGATGATATACCATCTGGGGTATATCACCTCCCTTTTAGTGAACCATGTTTGTCTGTCCTCCTCTATCATATAAACATATATCTCAAACTATTCCAACTAACGTACACTCGCCTATTCGAATTGTAATGATTTTTTCAACTTCAATATTTTCCACATATTATTGTACATGATGGCATTATATAACTAAAAATTAAACTAAGTTCAATGTGGTAATGTACAGTTTCTAGGAAACAGAAATTTATATTAGATATTATTAGACTAAGATTGTAAAAGATTTATCATCTTACAGGAAAAGACATGGACTAAAACACGAGCTCTTAAGAAATGAGGAAGTGATTGCTGAAACTAGAATAGAGGTATGAATTATATTAAGCAACTAAGTTTCAATAATCTTTGAAGAAGGCAGATACATAGATCTTAAAGGAAGTTTTTAATGCTGTAAGAATTTTTAAAAAGCATGCTTTCATTTATTATATTATTTTGTTTTCAACCATTCAAGGCAATATTTGACATCATATTGATAATGATAAGACATTAAGATGACAGCATACAATTTGCAAGTCACACTATACATACATAATCATATTTTTGTTGCAGTTGTGAAAAACACCATTATATTGAGAGGAGCGGTATCTTATCTTCGTTATCTTGCAAGGAGACATGCCGCTATCTACACACAAAGACTGATTTTAGATGATTTAGAATTTCCCTACTGAGCCTTAATTACGTAGGACGATGTTTTGTCATGATTTACGAAATGTGTAACTGAATTGCATTGTATGGTTAGCTTAAAATTTCATATGCACTTATATTTTTTGTCACACAACAGCTGTCTGTCATCCATTAGTCTATACTAAGATATTTCCGTTTTTTTTATTTAATTATTTATGACATGTGCCATATAAAATTGTGTCAATTCCATATTATTTAATCAAAGTTGCAATGTGTCTGTGATTAATATACTATTTCATAAAGATTGGAATAAATTAAGTTAACAAGTAAAAGTGATAAAAATCTTTTATTCTTATAGAATCGCTGGTAACAAAACAACTAAATACTGCTGAGTTATCTAACATTTCATATATATGAACTAATAAAATCATTAACAAATTCATGATCACACTAATTGTTAGTTAATGGTTACAATACAAAATGTAATAAAACCATAAACACAATTTGTCTTTAGAGTAAATAGAAGTACAATTTTTAAAGTGAAATATTTGTAAAGTAATATCATTCCAAATAGCACCAATAGAAATGAAAATATAATTCAGATAAACCCATGTAATTATAGTAAAAACAAATTAAATGCTCAAAATGCATTTTCAATTAGGGTAAGTGTGTTTAAGGTTTTACAAAATCACAATTTTATCACATAATTTTAACTATTCTCTTTTGATTTCATAATTCAATTTATTGTTGCTTGTGTCGAACTACAACTGGGCCAACATTGTCACATGTTTCCTTGTTGTGGGCACCATGAGCTCCGTCGCAGTAGGGCCACTGAAAATGTGTTTTATAAGGTATTTACTTAATGTTTTACCTAATTTCTAAAATATGTAAAGGTAATCTTATTAGAAATATGAAAATAAACATAAATTTACATTCTTGCTTTTCCAGCATCTACAGAGAGAGGCTTTTTCAGTAATATCTTCAATATCAATAAAATCAACAACTTTGTCCAAATCCTTTCTTATGATATGATTAACTTGGCCAGCCTCCTTTGCTTTCTTGACAGTCTGGTAGGAGACATACGAAATTCCACCAATAGCAAGTGTTGGTGGTACCAAAGCCAGCCAATCCCGGACTAAAAGAAGTAAATTGACATGAAAATTGATTTTCAAATCAAGCCATTTGAAAATTATGACCACACACATAATTTTAAAATGGCCAAAATATTATTTTGTTTAAGTAGAAATATTAATAAACACTGGCACTAGTAGCCATAAAGTACTTAGAAGTTAACTTCTAAGAATGTAATTATATATCTTAGACCTTGACATAGTAAACAGCGCAATAGTAATAAGCACAGTTACGAATAATTTTCAAAGTTGCTTTCTGAATATCTATTGAACATTTATCCCGTTAAAGTGGCATAACGAAGTAAATATATTGATATATAAAAGAATAGGTTAAAGCCACAGAAAAAACTTACAACTCAAGCGAAACCATCCACCGAAAGAGTCGGGAATCGGTAAACTAGCTAAGTAATTAGGAATTGTTACTTTTACAACATTAGATATGAAATACATTTTTCTTGTTAGTTTTGCGAGTTACACAGAAAATAACGGCACACAGTATTAAACTGTGATAAGCAGTACTTAGTTCAAAAAAAGAAAAGGTTACTGAAAGTTAAATATCGTCACAGACTATTGCATGAATAAAATACACTCACTTAATACACTGTCGTATGCCCTTATGAAGTCTTTTCTCTGCTTAGTAAGCTCTGTGGTATGAAGTGGTAATAGTATTTATGATAATACTTTTATCATAGACTCGTCCACGTTAACTCACTCAAGGATATCATCAGAATAAATTCTGCGATATTCATAGAATTCTGAAAATAAAAACCGTTTTAAATAAGATGGCTTTTTCAACTATAAGCTTTACGACATAAAATCAAAAGTTATTATCTATCATCAATCTTCAGCTGACAAATATACTGTCAATTGTCATTTTCCGTTAATTGTCATTGTTTTCAATGGGTGCGCTTGGTCGAAATGTACGTTGAAGTAATTTTATGAAAATTTTTAATAATTTTATGGACCATTATTCATACTTCCTTCTTGTTAACGTGTAACTAAGTTCTAGTGCAACTAGTGAAACCATGAAAGAAATACCATCAAATGTTTCTTTACACTGAATATGGCCGAGGAAAGACTTGTCGTATTAAATCGAAGTGACAACTTGGGCTTTGGTTTTTCTTTGCTAAGTGAAGCCGGTTCGCCTCATATCATTTGCAAAATCGAAGAAAACTCCCCTGCAGCACGCAGTGGAGAGGTAAGAAAAGTTATGTTTAAAATATCTTAATAATTTAAGATGAAGTGTGCTCCAGAATCATGTATATAAAGTTATAAGTTATAAGTCTTGTTTACCATAATTTATCATTTATTAGCATCGATCATATTTCGTTAAAATTACCTTTAACAACAAGTACATAAAGTAAAGCAACTTAATGATAACATCATTTAAAAAAGCTTTCCCTTTAGTTTTAATTTTCCACCACCCCTTAAAATATCAACTGAATGTGTGACAACATAAAATGGTGTTGATTGATACTGAAATAAATTGACCTTCTTATAAGAATAAGGATAATATTTTTAAATGGGTGTAATGAAAAATTTTACATTTTCTATTAAAAGTATATTAAGTTTTCATAAATAATACAATAAAGGCTAAATAAGCAACAAGCTAAGCTACTTAGAATAGACAATAATGTATAAATAATTTTATACTATTTTTGAAAAAGGTAAGACTATATTTTGTTATATAAATAAAATGCTTGGGGTATTCTTATACTTTTGTAGTTTGTTTGGAGTTTATTATCCTCAAATTCAATATAAATATATTTGTATCTATTTATTATATATTTTTATTCTGTTTACTAGTACTTAATACCTAAGTATGTATAGATAATTTTACATTATGTCTTAAATTCTTACAAGTCCTAAGTTAATGAAACACGTATTTAATAGATATCTCATAAGAAGTGATTCATAATTTAAATCATCAACCTTAATTACTAGCTTTTGTTGATACTGGTAAACATCATATTTATGGAAGGATCTTTTTTTGTTATTTCCATTATTATTTTGTACCTTCCAAATTAATGCCTTTTACAAATTCAGATTAGACCAGAAATCATATAGCTATTGGAGTATAAGTATTTAACTACTTTTAATAATAGTTTTAAAAACTCACTTATTTATTCATATTTCTTTTGTTCTTTTAATTCATTTTATTAAATATTTATTGATAAAATTATCCAGCTTTAATTTAATGTTTATACATATTCTGGTCTTAAAGAATGTTTTACCTACTTTATATTAACTTGCTTTTACCTGTTTTGGTATTCAATGCTGTTAACCATGAAATGGAAGTGAAAATGTCATATGTGGAGTTGGTTAAAATTCAATTATAATTTTGTAATATAAACCTGTTGCCATTTCTGTACATTTTACAATTTATTTTGAAGCGTTGTGGAGTTATTGCTCTTATTAAACATTGGATTAGTTGCTTCTCTATTCTTTGATTGTGATAAATTACAGTGAATTCATTAAGGATTGAAATGCAACCTGATATTCAAGGTTCACAGGATCCCTTTTTGGATAAGATTAATGGAAGGTCTAGATGGCAAACTCATTTTTGTACTCAGGATTATATTTTTAGTCTATGTACAGCAATAATATTTATTATTTTAGCAAAATTATATTGATTCTTGACATATCAACAACCCCAAAGAGCAAACTCCTTGACTACTTAGTCAAATCTCCCTTATTTAGGGTACATGTTATTTCATTAGCATGTGATAAGTGCCTTATTATTAGATTTTAATATACTTAAGCACTTAAGTTACAGTCGAGACGTCTGGGTGACGCATTAGACGACGTCATTCGAGATAGGAACTTTACCCAATTATTATTGATGGATTCCACTCAATTACTTTGAAGTTATGATAGGGAGTATAAATGTTTAGCCCTTTACGTTAACCGCTGAACAGTCGCTTTACGTACATGAACTTCAGGAAAGCGGTAGCTCATCGCCGATTTTATAATACATTCTATGAATCATAAATATATATATTTTTTTTAATTAAACCCAATACAAATCATGATTTTCCTTCTTCAATGAAACAAGTACTATTCGATTACTGTCTGTGGTTTACGACAGATATATATATAAAATCAAATTAGTTGTGACCATTTAAAAGCGATTTTGAGAGGATTAATGTTTGGTCTCTAACTAAAAACAAATTACTAACTATATTTCGCGTTTCAAACCGTTAACATTTCTATGTAAGTTCTATTAACTTGAGAGCTTAAAGTATTGATAAGCTCCATGCTATCGTAAAAAAGGTGACACCAAAAAATATTTGTATATTATAAAAAATTTATGTATGTTAATAAATACCGATTGGTCTATATAGAATATGCATAATAAAATGTTTGCCACTCACATCTTTTAATAGTAACACGGCCTTACTATTTCTGCCTTTAAAATACTAGCAACATATCGGCATGAAAACCAGTTTTTCAAGAGCTTGAATGGCGCCTTTTTCAGTAGCTTTGTGTTATGTCATTCAAGTCCATCTACCTACTTTTCTATATCTCGACAAAATTAAAACAACGCTAAGTGAAACGTAATACTTTATTTGTTAACAAGAAAATGCATTTACTTGACTCATTTTCTTTAATCATTGTTAACTGTTGCTATTAGTAGCTTTATTACCTATTAGATGTTATCCACGGTGAATTACATATTTACTCACAATTGTAACAAGTTAATAACAATCAAATTATTAGTTTTTCTGGCAAGGCGTGATTTTTTTTTTGCCTATATTTGTTATTCCAAGGTATCCATATAAATTGGCAATAAATTTTATCTATATCAGTCCACTCTTTAGAGTTTAGAGCGTGAACAACTGACGAACACGCTTTCGTGTTTACAACAATGATAGTTAGATTATCCTGGTTTTCGTGTTAGATCCCCATTTTTCAAAGTTCAAAAGACGACCAACTTAGTTTAAGATTATTATTATCAAATGGAAAATTAGTTAATTCGAATTTAAAGCAAACAAAAAGACTCGAGTTAAACAGAAAGTGCTATTCAAACCGTTTTAATTAATCTACTCAGAAACAAGTATCTACGTCAAATTATACTGTAAAATAAGCTTGGAGTTAACTCATCTTTTGAATTTTTAAAAACCTAGAATTATATAACCGGAGTTCATGAATGCCGAATTTGTAAAGTATGGTGAAATTACAGGAAGGAAATGTTAAATTAAGTCCTGGTTTCCTATGTGTTATATTTTTTGATTTTTAAAACCCGCAGATATTTTCCCTCTCTTGATAAATACTTTTCTGCTTCAAAACTAGGACATCTCGACATTGTAATTATTCATTAGCCTCGTACTCATGTTAAATAAGAACGTTGTCGAAATTAGTGATTTATTACACTGTTGCATTAGTTGATGATAGTGAAACCTAACCAAGCGTGTTAGGGATAAACCTTATATTAGAAAGGCTCAAGCCGGTTCTAAAAAAACAAAAACCTACCGAGACGCATATGGTCTTACCAATCCAACAAGAAGCGGCGACTGCTGATCGCTTTCGGTTTTCCAATAACTGATAAAATGCGGTAAATATATTTATCAATTAGCTTTATTCAATGGTGGATTTGTCTGCCATGGGTTGTAAATTTAAAAATTTGTCAAACAATTTTCAAATCCTTTAAATTTACGTAGCGCGTGTAGTTTGTGACAAGATAGCATTCTAATCAGTAGGCAAGAGATTTAAACGATATAAAAAATCTGCTAAATAATTTTAGTTATGGGTTTGCTTATTTTAGTTAAGCTCTAATAAAACTAAATAAATTTACTGTGCAGTTTTACAGTATTCAAGGAACAAATACAACATTTGCAATCTTACTTGCTGGAGATAACCTGTAACTGGATAACAAAAGTAAATTGATATCATTATATTTATAGTTGAAACTATTGCGTAATATGCCGAGTTGTACTGCATCTTCTGCAAAAGTACCATCATTTTAATTTGTATGTCAAGCAATATGATATTAATTCTTCTTAAGTTTAAAATTAAAAGAATTTACCATGCAATATTCTGGACACTTCCTTCCGTAATATTACCATAGGATAATAATAATTAGGGATGTTCTAATTTCGATTCGAATTCGGTTTACTCCGGATTTAACATAGACCAAAAATGGGTCTTTATAATATTATTTACGTGTAATTTATGCTATTTAATGAAATTGTTTTACAAACTTTTTTTGTTCCCATCGGACAACTTAAAATGTTATGTTTATTAATTGAAGTCACTATTTTAGTTCATACGAAGCATGAACCAAAATACGGCCGTAAGTCGGTTTCGGTTCAAAGCAAATATGGCTCATCTCTAATGATAATGCAAAGGATCGTCCGCTGGTTACCACGCCTCGCACGCTTTTGATCTCATAAAGTATTCACGGGCTATACTCCACAGTTCCATACAAATGAACTTCGCATTGTCCGTAGACTAAGAAAGGTCAGATTAAACTTAGTAGCTACACACATGTAAAATATGTCTAAGGTTTGAATTAAAAGTCTCAGGACAAGCTATTTTTCAAATTGAATACAGTTATAGTCCAATAGGACTAGAATATTTCACCTCCCAACCCTGTCTTTGTCTCCTCAGTGAAAACTCTTAAGGGCAGCGTATTATTTTCCCTATTATAAATATACTAGCGGCCCTGTTCCCGCTTCGCACGCGTAGCTTTCTAATGAAAAAAAGAATTATTCAAATCGGTCCAGTACTTTTTGAGTTTATCCATTACATACAAAAATACAAATCTTTCCTCTTTATAATATTAGTATAGATAAGTTTTCCCACCTTGTAAGCGGAACGGAAATTCAATTTAATACTAGATGGTTTCCGCTATTCTATTCCTGTAGGAAGTTGGATTTTAATGGCATAGCAACATAGGAATGCTTATCATCACTTCAAGTTGTTTATTGTAATGTTACATAAAGTTAAGGAAATACATTTTTATTTTAGTGCCCTATTAACAGAAGAACATTTGCTTTAAAACTATCAACTTAAAGCATTATTATAGAATTCATGTATTTTATGTTCTTTGTTGAAAATACATATAAGGTTCTCAATATCAATCACATCCCAGTTTTTTTTTTTATTTTATTTATTTCTACCTGATCTAAATTTCGCATAATTGTTTGTTTAGAATTTAAAATCTTTTTTGTTACGAATGTCACAGTGAATTAGCTC